TTTAAGTCAGTGTTAAAACAAAATTACTTCTGATCCGCTGAGGCAATCGGCTCAAAAGAGGTTAAACCAAACCTCCCCTGTTCCAACAGGAGTGTGAGCAGAGGGAGCCTGGGCAGCCCAGGCGACTGTCCGGTGGGAAATGGTGTGTTTCAGAGGCCAGGCCTCCGTCACAGCTCACAAGCCTCGAGTGTGATGCTGTGAGGAATCTCAATCCCAGCAATGTGGATATACGGCAGAAAGTTCTGGAAGCCCAAAGAGAGGAAGGTCACACAGTGAAGCAGGGTGCAACCACAGCCCAGTGGTTAGTCAGTCGGGGAGTCGCTCGTGGGTTCGTTGTTCTCATCTGTAAAACGAGAGGGCTAGCTGCCCTGCCCGAGCCCTGCCCTGGGACCCTGCTTCCCTGGCCCATCTTAGTCACACAGCCAGTGTCAGCTCGTTCTGGGTGCTTGCTGGGGCCCAGGTGCTGTGCTTTCTCCAAGACAAAGCAGAGAGACTGGGCCTGGCCCCAGTGGTGTCGTCGCCTTGCCAGGTAGATTGCTTCTGGAAATCACACGGTGGCAGCTATGGATTGAATTGCACAGCAGGCTGAGTTCTGGTCAGGGGGAGGAGGCTGGCTGGGAGGGGTTGAGGGATGGGTGAGAGTTATGACCCCGCTGCAAGACCAGTTTATTAATTCGAGCTCTAACAAATAGCCAATTAATGGTTCCAGCTGCTAATTAGTAAGCAGTTAACTTCTGTTATAAATTGTACAGCTCAAGACTAAGGATAAGGCAATCTTTCCTTGACACGGGGAGAGCAAGAACCTACCAAATTTTGTCACCAAGGCTGCAGCCCCACCACTCCCTCTCTCCTCCACGCCCAGGTAGACCCTGCTGACAGAATGCAGGCTTCATATGCGGACACTCACCTTGGTGTGGATCATTCTTTGATCTCCCTAGGTGCTGGGGACTCAATACAAACAGAGACAAAATCCCCTCTGCGGCCAGTGAGATGGCTCAGCATGTAAAGGTGCTTGCTGCCAAGCATGAAGACCTGAGTGCATCCCCAGGACTCACACGGTGGAAGGAGAGAACCGACTCCCAAACACACACACACACACACACACACACACACACACATATATACACACATACACACACGCACACACATACACACATACACACACACATATATACACACATACACACACGCACACACATATATACACGCACATATACACACATATATACACGCACATATACACACATACACATATATACACACACATATATACACACATACATATACACACATACACACATATATATACACACATACATATACACACATATACACACGTACACACATACACACACATACACACATACACACACATACATATACACACATACATATACACACACATACACACACCACATTCATACCATATACATACACATACACACACATGCACACACGCACACCATAACCTCATGTAAAAACTACTATTAATTTAAGTTCTTCAAGACAGGGTTTCCCTGTGTAGCCCTGGCTGTCCTGGAACTCGCTCTGTAGATCAGGCTGGCCCCAAACTCACAGAGATCCACCTGCCTCTGCTGTGATTGAAGGCGTGCACCACCATCGCCCAGTTTGTGAATTTTTTAAAAGACAAAACACCTGGGAAATAAAGAGGCCCAGTCTCTCTCCACTCTCCCTCTCTTCCCTTCCAAGCTCTGTTTCACAGGAGGAGAGCAAGCAGCTGGGTGGGATGGCAGTCTCCTACTGACAGTGATATCATTAGAGTCTGCTGCTAGCTGCCCTGCCCGAGCCCTGCCCTGGGACCCTGCTTCCCTGGCCCATCTTAGTCACACAGCCAGTGTCAGCCTGTTCTGGGTGCTTACTGGGGCCCAGGTGCTGTGCTTTCTCCAAGACAGAGCAGAGAGGGCTTTCTTCCATGAGGAGTAATGGTGGCCTGGGTGGCCTGCCTCAGTCTGATCCTAGGCTCCCTTCAGGGCTTCTCAAAGGTCTTGGGGTCTCATGCTGCCACGTTCCTAGCAGCCCCATGCAGGGTCCAGAACACTGTTCTGGTGCATGTAGAGCACGTGAGGTGCTTCTCATGAAGACATGGCTAGTCACCTCTGGGCTTGCATAGCATAGGTAGCTCCGGAGGAAAGAGCTAGGCTGTTCAGCTAGGGGCAGCTGGCCGTTCCGCAGCTCTGTGAGACACCCTGACAGGAAGCCTCTGCCCCCAAAGCAGGCACCCAGCTCTCTCAACCACTCTGGCAGGGAGGGATCCCACCTACTTGACACCTGCGGGAAATGAGGCCCAGAGAGAGCAGGGCTGGAACACTGGAGACGATGGCATTTTGCCTTCTCTGAGGTTGTCAGGCCTGGGGCTCTGTCCCAGGCAGCAGGTCTGGAACACTGGGGAGGAAATGTCTGCGTTGACAAGCACACATGAACAGGCTGTCGAGGTGTTTACACTACACACAGCGAGTATTCACAAGTGGATTAGCACAGCAAATGTTCAATCCCAGCCTGCCAGGCTCTGGACTTCTGTTCCCCTCCTCCCCAACCCTCCTCCCTCACAAGGCCTCCTTCTCTAGGCCAGTGTGTGTTCAGACAGTGTTCCCATCGTCTCCGCTGTCCAAAGAGGAACGGTTCAATGCTGTTCGGGGTTGGGGTGGCTAGCTGGAAAAGAAGACTACAGCTTCCCAGAATAGGCAAAGCCAGGAAGAGCCTGAGTCATTGGGATGACTCCCTGGGAGCTTCCTGGGGGATTCTGGGAGCTTTCCAATAACGGCAACACCACAGTAAACTGAGCTACTCACCATCACCCCCTCAGTTGGTGCCACTTCCCTTTCAGACTGCGAGGTAGAGGTGGGTGGGAAGACGCTGGCTATCTACGGAGCAGATCATGCATTTTCCCTTTGGGTTGACGGAAGACTGTGGAATCTGACCCGTGATGGGCATCATTCATTCATTCATTCTTCATTCATTAGGTTAACAAATCCCCAGTTTCTGAGTTGGGCTTGGACAACCTTAACTGAGCCTTGGACCTCCACAGCGAAAGGAAGGAAGAAATGAGGAGGGCAGGAACAAGTGTGGATGGCCTGGGTGAGTCAGAAGGGAGCTAAGAAGGGGTAGGCTGATGGACGCCCCTCCCCACCTACCAGACATATCATGCTGCCCACTCCTCTTTAGCAGGTTAGGTCTGCCCCGCAGGGCCAGAGGGGGAAGAACGCTGTGGGAAATGGATTTGGAGAAGGAAGGGTTTATTACTAATATTTTAATTTATGCGTGAATTTACTTGCAAGAGAATCAACTCTTTGGGTGAGCAGGTCTTTGAGCTTGGACTGATGCCTGGGAGTCATGGATCCACCACCGCGGCAGATCCGGAACAGGATCCAGTCTCCGAGCTTGTTAGCTGCGGCGGCTGTCCGCGCTCCCACGGGCCGCTCTAGTTCAATCCCTACGCTCACGCCGAGATAAATAGCGGCGACAGGTGGAGCAGGTGAGATTAGCAGGACCCGGGTGCGGGGACGCGATCGGAGGCGCCGGGGAGGTCGCGCGCCTCGCTCCCCAGCCCGCGCCCCTCCCTCCCCAAGGGCGTCTGGAAGGAACTATGTCTTGGTCACAGCTTGGGGAGGACCAGGTTGGGGTGGCGGGGAGACCTGGAGTGCTGGATTCAGGCCCCGGCTCGGCTGCGGGAAGGGCGTGCACCTCCAGGGCACTTGGCCACGCCTGAGGTCCCGCTGGGAGGCAGGGTGCCAGAGAAGCAGGCTGAAGGGAACCCTTGGTGCCCCCGTGGAGCTCTGGCACTGGGGTCTTGCTGGCAAACCTGTTGGCAACCTGTGGGCCGGGGCTAGGACGCGGAGCTGCAAGCGCGTTCTCCTCAGCGGTTCTGACCGTGGCTCGGCGCCCGACCCGGGGAGAGGCCGAGGCGTCTTGGAAGGGGGCCGGGGCTCTGCCAGGGGCGGGTGGCGGTGGAGGCGGCGGCGGGATTCCCAAGCCGAGCCAACATCCCTGCCGAGCGACAGCAGGCAACCGGCTCTCGCGCCAGCACTGGTCTAGAAGAAGCAGACGTCTCGGCCTTTCCCTCCGGCCCTAGGCTCCAGTCCCGCCTTCTCCAAAGTACAAAACATTCATAAGTGTCCAGTGCCCTGCAGACTTAGGTCCCCGCAGCGAGCCGCCCGTGCCTGGCCCGCGAGCGTGCAGCGACCGTTTGCACCCGGCCCGGGCTTTGCCCGCCTGGGCTGTGCAAGGGCAGGCGGAGAGCGTGTGCGAGTGAGCGGCTGCAGAGCCCGCGCCGAACCCACGTTCCCGCTACTGTCCTCGGGATAGATGGATCCATTGCTGCTTTCTGACATTTTCTGCCAGGGGGTTGGTGGGGGAGGCGGAGATAGCGAGAGAGAGAGAGAGAGAGAGCGAGAGAGAGCGAGAGAGAGAGCGAGCGAGAGAGAGAGAGAGAGAGAGAGAGAGCGAGAGAGAGAGAGAGCGAGAGAGAGAGAGAGAGAGAGAGAGAGAGAGAGAGAGAGAGAGAGAGAGAGAGAGAGAGAGAGAGAGAGAGAGAGATGGGGAGGAGGAGAGAGAGAGAGAGAGAGAGAGAGAGAGAGAGAGAGAGAGAGAGAGAGAGAGAGAGAGAGAGAGAGAGAGAGAGAGAGAGAGAGAGAGAGAGAGAGAGAGATATTGCTTCCCCCAGCCCTGTTTTGTTTTCTCTAATTGGTCCTGGGGGAAGCAAGGAAATTGGACAGAGGCTGGGCCGGGCGAGCTGGGCTGTCTTTAATTGGCTCCTTTTTTTAACTGGAGGGGAATCAAACAGGAGAGCGAGCGACAAAGGGTGGGAGAGCGAGAGACCGATCGCGGAGATGGGAGGAGGGAGAGAGGGAGGAGGGAGAGAGGGAGGCGGGGTGGTGGTGGGGAGGTGGAGGAAGCGCGGAATGAAAAGCTCGGAGGGACCAGAAAGCAGCACAGCGAAGCCCAAGTTGCCGAGCGAGCGGAGCGCTCCCGCGGCCCCGGAGCCCGAGTGGCCGCCGTGCCCGGGAGCCCGGCCCGGCCCCGCCCGCTGGGGCCCCCTCGGGCCCAGGCCTCCGGGAGGGGGGCGGGGACGCCCAACTTGGGGCGCGGCACAGACCCGCTCTCCCGAGATCGCGGAGCCCGGGAGAGCCACGGCTGCGGCCAGACGGCGGGAGAGGAACGTGGAGACAGGAGGCGGCCGGCGGCTTCCGAGCTGCTGCCCGGGCCTCCGCAAGAGCGCGAATTATTTTCAAAGGACTCAAACTTTCCTCCTTCCCCTGCTGGCTGCGGTCCCTCTTGCTTTGGAATCGTTCTCCGGATTCCCGCGGGGGCGCCGGGACGCGATCGCCTCCTCCGGATTCCTCGGCGGCAGCTCGGCTAACTTCGTGGACCCGGGGACCCGGAGCGCTCGCCCTGCGGCCGAATTCAGTCCTCGCTGCTCCTGCGGTCGACAGGACCGGGACCTGGGGCGTCCTCGCCTCCAGGAAGGGCGCCTAGCCCCGCTCCCTTGGGTCGGGCCGCCGAGCCCTCCGCACCCACTGCAGGACTGGAGCCAGCGGATTAACCTGGCTCCACCAAGGGAACAAGTTTGTCAGGCATCGGTGGCCTGTTGGATCGGAGCTCGGCCGCCGCAACAGAGAGTACCCCCGCGGTCGGCACCCTCGGCAGACAGCCTTGGAGACCCGGGGCTGCTAGGTGGCCGAGCTTTCTGGGGCAGGGAGCTGGCTGCTGCGCCCGGTGCGTAGAAGCACCAGGGTCTCGGCCAGCGCCCCCTGTACCCCCACCTCCGCAGCTGCCCCGTGGGAAGAGGACAGAGCCGAGTCGCCGCCTGCTCAGACTCTTGCTCTCGGTCGCCACGCTCTCTGTCGCGTCTCAGCAAAAAGGAGGGAAGGCAGAGGGCATCGCGGTGCCCCGGCGGATGCGCCCCCCGCCGCCTCTCAGGCTGCGCCGCCTCGCGGGGATGAAGCACTGGCCGTGAAGATGGAGGTGACCTGCCTTCTACTTCTGGCGCTGATCCCCCTCCACTGTCGGGGACAAGGAGTCTACGGTAAGAGCCCGCGTCCAGCTCCACCCTGGTGGAGCAGCGCGGAAACTTTGCTAGATCTTGCTCAAAGTGCGCGCTGCCGGGCTTTGGTGGAGCCCTGGGCTTGCACTCAGGAGTGGATGACCGCGTCCCCGCCCTCACCCGGGCGACAGGAGACCCAGTAGGCTGCTCCCGAGCCTAGGAGATGGTCTTAGGGTATGCAATGAAGCTGGGGGGTGCTGAGGCGAGGTCTCGGCTTTCTGAAATCTTGCCAGGGGTTGGAGTGATCTGGAAGTCTTGGGAGAATCCGGTGGCTCAGGAGACCGGGAAGAGCCCAAGCTCTGGGCTAGAGCAGCGATTTCCACCGAATTTTCTTCCTTCCCTGGCTCAATCTCCCGAGTGAAAGCAAGCGATGTGATCCGGAGTTGTGCGCGGCTGGCGGGCGGGCGAGATGCTTGCTAGCACCGCGGCCAGGCGGCTGGCTCGCATTCCCGGCAGTAGCCACCGCTCGGCCGCCTCTTCTTGATTCCTAACGGTCTGAGCCGATGCTAGACAACCCCTAGTCCAGGCGCCTGCCGTTCACCGCATCCCTTTTCAGACCTCTCCCGAGCCAGCTCCTCCTGTCCGTGGTTCCCACCCTTAGAACCCCAGCCCTAGCTCTCTTCTGCCTGCTTGCACACACAGACACGTTCAGCCACCGTCCTCAGGAAACGCAATCACGGCTCGCATCCATCCGACTACGTGTCTAAACTCTGCCTCCTTCCACGCAGCTCTGCTCCCGCATCCCCGAGCCACGCTCCGGGGCGCTGAGGAGTATTCTGGCCACATTTTCTCCACTTCATGCCGTGGCTTTTCTCAATAAAGGCTTCTTGGTTCAATACTACCCAGGATCGTCCTCCCGACCGACACAGCACAGAGCCCATGGCCCTGACTTTGTCTTCTCCTGACCGCAGGGTGGGCTTTGTAGTTACTTTCTAATGATGTGTGGCTGGGGTGGGCAGGGTTCGCCCTCTTTCTCTGGGGCCAAGAATCTAATTATTCTCTTTGAGAGTGGAGTGAGTTGGACCTGTACCGTGTGGGTGACAGAGCCCATGTCCCCGACTACTAGCTTTAGGTCCTGGTTTTCTACCTGTGCCTGGCAAGAGAAAGGAGCTTCCTGGGAAGCCAGGATCTGAAAGGATATACCCCTGGGCTCCAACAGCTAGCTGGCTTGGGTTTAATTCCCCGGTGAGGCCAGCCCAGGCATCCAGCCAAACTCCTTTTCTTAATTAGTTTGTGTGTCTCTTGCTGCCTGGCCCCTGGCATGGACCAGACCAGGCAGGCAGGAGGGATGCTACAAGAGGCCGGGTTGTATGTATTGTGTGTGTGTGTGTGTGTAAGAAACATGTCTTCCCTCTCTAGGACAGGAAGATACCAGAAGTCTCAGAGTCCTTCCTTCTCCAGTATCACCAAAGACACCAGCAGCTTAGCCACGGCCGCCTTTAAGGGAGTCCCCCAGAGAGGTTATTGCACCCTGCTCATATGCCCTCCCGAGTTCTTAGCCCGCTAAGCACCTCCCTCCAGTGCTCGGGGACTGGTCTGATGGCCTATCTCATGGCTGTCTCCAGTACATTCAGGGTGGCCCAATGAGCACCTAAGGAACCCTCTCTGGGCCTACATTGGGACCCCAACAATGAGGACAGACTAGGAGACAAGAGCCGTGGTCTCTGTAGACCCTCTGTCCCTCCCCTTCTCTGCCCTTTCCCTCTTCTTCATTTTCTCCCATCTCTCACATGCCCAGGTCCCAGGTGCTCTTGTTACAAATCCTTTGGGTCTAGCCTTGGCTCTTCCCCAGCAGTCTTCGCACCTTCTCTTGGAGAGCCTGGCTCCAGGGAAGGCTGGGCCGCAGGGAGATTGCCGCATGTGAAGTCCTCTCGGAGGTGGATGGGAAGCAAGAGACAGAGGAACTGGGGGACCGCCGCCCCTTGTAATGTTACAAGCACCAGTGACACCTCAGGAGGTTGGGACTGGCCTAAGAAGTAGGGTGGAGAGCCGGGGTTTGTCCTGACCCCTCCCATTCCTCTGTACCCCAAGGCAGGTGGAACAAACGCCTGGGAGTGTGGTGCCAGACGGGAGTGGAAGTGTCCACCCTGGCCGTCCACTGCAGCGTCCAGCCCCAGCATGGCACCCGGCACCCTGCAGGAACTCCGGTGAGGTTTGTTGAGTAGGTGAAGGGCTGCAGGTTGAAAATGGTTCATGAAATTCTCAGGTGTCTCCAGAGCTTGTCACCCCGCCAAGACAGACGGCTTTAGTCGAAGGTTTCTGCTCAAAACCACGAAGGGCCCTAGGGCTTGCAGCCCTGAAAGAGAAAAGCTGGACGGAAGCGCTGGGTTCTGCTGGTGTCCAGGAGGGAGGCAGCGTGCCGCCGTGTGCTGGGGATGGACTTGGCCTGTGCTGCTGCTGAAGGGGTAGGCTCGGAAGGAGGGTGAAGGCCAGGGAGGAAGGAGAGTCAGGATGGAGGCCTCTGGTGTGTGTGTGGGGTCAGTCCATCCTAGTGGGAGACGGCCGCTCAGAGCCCCACATCCTGCATACTTCAGGGCCTGCCCTTCAGCTCTGACCCTGTCAGCAGCAGCAGGACTGTGGGAGCCTCCCCGTCTAGCCAGGTGGCTTTACTCTTCTTTGGGGCCACAGATGCTACAGCAGCCTGGTGTGGGACCAGATGGTCCATTTGGAGCGGGGCCTCTTCCTTCTCCAATTCTCAATCTCTAGCCCAGTTTGTTGTTTACAGGGTGGATTCTGTAATCTGCTTTTGGCCTGGCCAGTGTGTGTGTGTGTGTGTGTGTGTGTGTGTGTGTGTGTGTGTGTGTGGCTGTCCCCAGAAGGCTAGTTCGGTGACAAGCACAGTAGGCGGGTGAAGGAGGGGTAGCATGTACTATGAAGGCAGAGTTGGAGGCCTCGCATCCTCTGTCCTGGCTTCTTGTCCCTCTCTCAAAGCCGTCAGACTTCCAGGCAGGGCCGGTGAGCAGGATTCGGCTGCTTACAAGAACACAACAAACCCCTGGATTATTTAATATGCAGGAGTGGGAAGTGACATTATCCTTAAGACAGGTTGTTTGCAACGCACTGGGGGAAGTCAAAATATTTCACCAAAGGTGTCATCAGAAACTACTATCCTATGCTAATTTTTGTGGGAACATGAAGACAGATGTTGAATAATTTGACAAGAGCAGCATCGCTTACAGAATTATCACCAAGTCAGCACCCCCCCCTCCTCGGGGGAGTGTGGGGAAGGAATTTCGGGAAGTGGGTTTCCCAGTGTGGGGCTTCTGAGTGTTGAGGGGGGTGGGGGTACATGGGCCTTTCCCTCCTCTGAGTCCATGCCTTGAAGGTGGCTGTCTGTATGGGGTCTTTCCTGGAGAAGGCCTCACCTCTGGAAGCAGGTTGCCCCTAGACTCAGCAGCAGTCTTAGGCCTCCCCAAATCCCCAAGAAGGTCCCCTCCCCCCACTTTTCTTCCTTTTCCCTTCTCATTCTCTGTCATAGACATTGTCCGAGGGAAAGAGAGTCTACAAATCCAGGCTACTTTAGCTGTGCGGTCTTCGACAACCTCCCAAGCCTGCCTGGGGGGGGGGCTCCCCACAGGGCCATCCTGTAGAGCTCTTCCTGGCGTGCCCCCCAGGCCACTTCAGGCAGATGTCTCCTCCGGCCCTGCAGGCTGGGCGTCCGAACATCATCCATACACAGGTGAAGTTCTAGGGTCTGGAAGCCAGATTGGAAGGGACTGTATGAATCAAGGAAAACACCCTCTCGGGGCGAGCTGGGAACTATCTGAGGGGCCCACGTGTAATTGGCTAGGTCTGGCTCTGAGCTGCTGTGGCCGGGTGGTAAAGCCTCATTTAGAGCCCCGTGTTAGCTTTGCTTTGCTGGAACATGGAGGAATGGGCGGGGAGCTCCGTGGGGAGGTGGAGAGAGCTAATCACAGCCGCCAAGGCCTGGCAAACGAATAATGCCAAAGATCGATACCTGGGGTGGGATTGGAAACCAGGCCGTGGCTGCAGGGTTGGCTTCTCCTGGTTGCCCAGGAGGCACGGAGGGACCTTGGAGTGCTGAGGCCCAGGTAGGATATGGAGGACCCCAACTTCCCTCTCAACCTGTTCCCCACAGCAACCTTCCTGTGACTCGGTTCAGGAAGATTGAACCAGAAGGTACCCCGCCCAGGAAAGTTTGGGAGAGATGGAATCTCGGGTCTCTCAGTCTAGCAGGAGCTCCAGTTCTCCCTATCCAGACACCTCCATCTGAGTAGGTCCCTGAGTCAGAGAGGTCGGGGTGTAATCCCTTTGGGTCCTGCAGTATAAAGCTGGTGCTGCTCTTCCAGACATTGCCAGCAGGGGGCGGGCTTGGCCACCACATCGCTGCTTCCCTTTGCTGGCCTCCTTGCCCCATCACAGAAGAGGGGGTCTCCTCGTTCTGATTCCCCAGTCTGAGGTGGAAGGGGGCTCTCTCCAACTCCCACATACCCGCCTTAGAATCCAAGGGCACCTCCATGGATAAAGCCACACTTTCTGCGTTTTCTAGATGACTCAGTTCTTTTCCAGGCTGGCTGAGAACTTTGTAGGCGCTCAGCTGAGCTGGGGGGGCTCTGACTCTAGGAGGCTGTGTGTGTGTGGAGGGGTCTGATTCCCCTGCACAACTGCATCTTTGCAAACCTAAGTACGGACCCTGGCCAGCATCTCCTTTTCCACTGCCACAGGCTAAGGACCCATGTGGCATTTAATAGCTGGTGCAAGAGGCCAGCAAGAGCCACACTTAGCCCAGAATCTTCCTTCCTTCCTCCTTCCTCCCTTCCTACTTCCTTCCTCCTACCTTCCTTCCTCCTTCCTTCCTCCTCCTTCCTTCCTTCCTTCCTCCTTCCTCCTCCTTTCTTCCTTCCCTCCTTCCTTCCTCCCTCCTTCTTCCTTCCTTCCTCCTCCTTCCTTCCTTCCCTCCTTCCTTCCTCCCTCCTCCCCCTCCCTCCCTCCTCCCCCTTCCTCCCTCCTCCCCCCTCCCT